CGATCTAGAGGTTACCAATGCTCCCCGATATGAAATTGTTTCCTCGCTCAATTATGCTGAGCAGTGGAACACCTGACTGCAAAAACTCCTGCATGCCGTTTCTGCTCAAACAGTAGGATAACCGAACACAAGTCGAATGTCGGGATGTGGGGCCCCCGGAAAATGTGTCCCAATTCTAGAATATGTCATTATAAGTTCTAAACAATCTACTACATTCAGAGTCCCTTCATCTGGGTGGATCGTTGGACGTTAGAAACCATGACAACGACGGAAATGACGCATTGCAGAACAGATACGTGGCGCAGTTGACATTGACCTTCAACTATATACGGTCAGGTTCGCGAGTCTGTCAATCCATTTTGCTGGAATAGTTTTCTGTTTACCCCGGATACTTCCTTTTCTCCTGCTTTTCTTCCGGTTACGTTACCCAGAAAGAACGTTGTAAAATAACTAATGGATAACTAGTAATCATACCCATTCATCCTAAATTAAGTCTCGTTACTTGTACACCAATGTACCTTTCCTAGCTGATTACTTCATGGTGCTTCGACTTAACTGAAGCTCCTCCAAATTTCCTTGAATTGCCTAAACAGACGCTTATGTTCTGGAATCTGATATATTGTTAAAGGTTCAACACCGTTTCGTTTATCTTACTGTTTGAGCAAAACTGACATTTTGGAACAAATTCAGTGTAAGAGTTCTCGCAATGTAACAAACACAGTTTTCTTGGAAACAATGTCATATCTAAGAATGCTGGTACCTTCCTGACTCATCTTCATGTGGTTTTTCTTGACTAGGCAGTGTTTAAGCTTAGTTTAAGATATAATTTTAAAAGTTTAATTTACAATCTCCTGTAAACCCCCACAAACTACTAAATTTAAACTTCACTTCAACCCTGAAGATGAAGACACGGTGGAGTCTACACGGCGCCAAAACCCAGAAGAATATCTTCGTCCTCATTGCCGTAAAAACCCCAGATGTCAAATTTAATCAAAACTATTTAAATAAGTAATTTTCGATGTGAAACATGCTGACGTGTAGACAGACTGCATTTTCCCAAGAACTTTACAGTGATAATTCTCGTTTTACTTATGTTGAAGGTCTGTCCCTGTATTGATCCATAAATATTTAGACCGAGCCAATATTTAAACCAAATATAAATAGCGGCAGCCGAAACATTTCTTAAATTTTCTTTATATTTACAGATAATTTTACAAAATACAGCACAGACCTTTCCTGTTATCTGCTGTCTATTTGTAACAATATTGACCGCTAGTATATTATTTAGTCTTTGTTTCTAGTCATGGTACTCTCTAAACTGGACAGCAGATAGCAGGAACTATAGTTGACATCCATAAGCATCGCGGTTTTCAGACGAAGGCTCCGTGGCGAAGACCATACATGGATCAGTGCTTTGAAGCATGACCTTGCAGGACTTCACCATCCCAAATACATAATCCAATACGCAGATCTGACGTACGATGGTGACGATATTATATTGACTGCAGGTATTCACACAGGAAGGATTCCTCTTAGAAGAGTATGTATTTTAAGTAACATTTTACTTTAATGCAACTTCTAGATCCCCGTTCTGCAGAAACTTTCTGCTTAAATTAACAATAAACTGACACACAGAAGAGGCTCTGATGTTTCCAGATCGCGGATCGATAAGACAGCAGTTGGGTTTCAGAATGTAGGTACTTTGTGTTGTCATTCTAATGTAAACCTTGGAAACTAGACTACGTTTCAGTGAACCCGGTTTATCTGAAACCAATGTGTCGCTACCAATTTATAAATTCCTACACTAAAATTTTGAATCTGGCAACATTTTCATGTTTTCCTTAACCGTTGGCAGTGTCGGCCTCTTGCTGGGCTGTGTAACATTTCACATATAAACACATGACACTGCAATGGAGTGAGTATTTTTTGTTACGTACAGATGACACATCCGGAAACACAGAGTACATTATAACGCGAATGGTATTCTGGGGAAGTGACGTCAACCAGCTGTGGCATTCGTTGCAAAAAGGCTGCAGACTAACAAGTTGCCTTACTCCTGTCTCCTGCAACCTGTTGATGGACGTCACCACGCCATAGAAGAAGGCGTTCTCAGAAAATTGACCTGTTTTTCTCACGCGCCCCATCTTTTGAGACACTGAATGTCCCACGGAAACCGACGTTGAATTGCCATGTGAGATCTGTGGTTGATTCAGTAAGTTTCTCTAAAACAATGGCCAGTGTATACCAGACTTCTCTGTCCTGTAACCAACATGACAGTCACCATCAAAGATGTAAGATTTGAGGTTTTCACAGCGGTGAGTATGAAGATTTCCGTCTTCTGGGTTGTAGCGTATGACGCCCTGATGAAGGAGGCAGTATGACCTCTGAAACGTTGGTTAACATCGATCAGACTACACAGCGCAACAACCCAGAAGACAGAAATCTTCACCATCAAAGATGGTTGTCGTTTTGGTTGTAGGGCCGTGTAGTTTGGTAGAAGTTTACTACGATACTACACGGTAAACTTCTACCAGAACGGCGCTACAACCCAAAGCCAGCCATCTTCGTACTCACAGCTGAGAGAACCCCAAATCCTATCTATATGCAGTTAATTGTTTACGTCACATAAAACTGAACATGATTATGAGCTGAACCTAGCATGTAGCCAACGCAACAGAGGGATTCAGGGGTCCCCAAATGATATTTTGACCTTTGACGTTGAGATATAGGCCTAGTTACTTCCTACATCTCATTCCTGACCTGGGTGTTAGGTTCAAGTGACTGTCACTATAACTGTGAAGAAATGGACCCCGATATCCATTGGTTGGGTTGGAAGAAAAGAGAAATATTCTCTCTCTGCCGGGGATTTGACCGCGGTCATGCTGAAAATTATATTAAAATCCTGTAATCACCTGCTTGTCTGCTAACAGTTGTAATTTCGGATATCTAAGAGGACACTTACGACAGCTACGAGAACCACAAGCGACTGCCACAGGCGTGTTCCAAAAGATACGGAAAAGGTAGCAGCATTCGTATATTTTTAATTTGAAATGTGCCCAAAAACAATAAATGAACAGCATTTAAGCACGTAAAACTGTGAGAGTAGTTTTTGGAACAAATCGACATTATTGTTTATTATACCGATATCCTGAAATATTTTAACGAACATCCGACCGTCTCGTGGAGCACAATTTGATGTAAAGACAAGCCAGAGTGCACATACAATTTGCCCAGGAAATTACTTTAAACCTGTGAATAAGCGTTTCATAGGAACGTATGCAGGGCCTATCTTAGTCACTTCTTTCGAATTTCACTTGATTGAATCATACTCTGACGCTGACGGAGAGACACAGGAACAGAATATATATACATTTAAAAATAAAAGTGTTGTGATTATGATAAAAACAGATTTGAGGTTTTAGTGCACAACTAAGTGTTGAGTCTCTTTTGAGGTCGGAGCTCATCTACATGACATTTACATATTCATTTCCCATCTTAAATCAAATACAACATTCTATTACAAAGATAAGTTGGTTATGCTGTTAGGGAAATGATCGCTGTTTGTTCTTAGAGGCATATGGAATTAATAAACACATTTTTATGGTAAAATACAGAGTTATATGTTGTTAAAGCAGGTGGTGTTAGTTACCACTGGGCTCTACAGAGTTAATAATTTCATAATAAGAAGACCCGTGTTTACATCCATCCACAATATTTTTGAAAATACCAGTTTTAGTATTTCACATCAAGGTTTAAGCACCAAATGCAGGTGTTTTATCATTCTGCGTACTTAAATGTTGTTCAATAACAGAATTTACAGCCGAAATACCACAGCAGAAATTAATTAGACTGCGTACAGGAGCCTTCTTAATTATAGCAGGTGCAACGGCTATGACAAAGATTTTACAATTTACAGCATTTTTCAACGTTTGGTTTATCGTGAGGGAAGTTGAAGAAGAGGTGGACTAGTTAACCCTTTCTATTCCAAACGCGAAATATCTCGTTCAGAAACTCTATTCTCATCTGCGTTTTTTGTGCTATTTAATAGCGTCGGTTAAATTAAATCGCTTCTGCCATGTTTGTAAACTAGAAATAGAGGAACCTGCTGCATCCATGTACAGGGTAGAGGAGGGCTGGGGCAAGCAGAGTATGGTGCGTCCGTAACCACCAACGCGATGTCATAATCCAGAAGGCCACGATATGGTAAATGGAAATCATGACTTTCATTTGGACAACTGAAGTAAGCGTTATTCTAAATTTTCCTTCCAAACTGAACATGTTAAATACCGAGATAAGTAACTAACTGAACTCTGAAGCTGTGTAGCTGCTGCCCGTCCGGAATTATATCAGAATATTTTTCGTGGACGCTGCGATAGTACCTAAAGACCATCGATTTACTTCTAACATTTCTTATGATCGATTAATAAACTTGTTCAAAGTCGATTCAACTGTGTGTGACAGTCGTGTGAGGATCTTTCGATGTCTGCAGACAGCCTCTGTACTTGACCTTCGTTACGCCCACGTTATTTCCTAAATGTGTACGAAAAAAGATATTTATTTCTTCATTCTTCGAATCCAGTGTTTCAAACATGTTTTATCTTGCCCAAGCGTTGAAACCTCTACAAGTGCCGAAACACGAGATTGGAGACATACAATTGAATGGTTTAGGATCATATACATTCTGCGACACCGGAAAATGAAATTCGAATTTTGTTCTGCAGTAATATTTTGAAATGGCTTTCCCTCCGAAAAGTCGGCACATCCTAAAAGACTCCGCCCCAATTCTTCTTCCTATCTTGTCTTGCCGGCGCAAAGCGCCGGTCTGACTCTACAGTTCACCAACTGTACACACCAGTGCTTGACGCATTGCAGGTGTGTACCAGCCAATCAGAGAAGGGCTTAGTTACAACGATAGACGAGTCGACAAGGAAGTCTTGTAAACAAGACCGCACCCTGCACCTATAAAGCCCATACACTTGCGCACGTAAACTTAATCCGCGATCTGAGTTCGAATTCGATAGGAGATAGGTTGCATAGGTGAAACATATGAACATATTTTACTTTATTATAAATTCTGTTTTCAATTGGACATATTTTAGTTAGCGTGTGATTTTTTTAATGTGTAAATAATTGTACTCGCGGAGTTATACTATTGGTGTTGCTGAAGGACCTTCCATTATTCGTAGTATTTCGTGTCAGCGCTCGCCGAGTTCGTTGTGGCGGTGATAGTGGTGCCGGGAATTTTTAGAAGGTAGTGTGATTCGGGACGTATCAACAATGGTAAGTCTGTGAAAATAACCATCCTGATAATAATAATGTTGTTTATAAATTGTAGTTTCAGTTTCCGTTATTATTTTTTGATTTTAGGGAATATTTGAATTGTTGTGGTGCCCCAATGTATTCATATGCATCTGGCTTTATTGAGAAGCATTTAGAGGTCATTCTGATAAAAGTATGGAATCAAGAGGAATAAAATGCGACTATTATTCAAAACAAGTTGTAATAATTCTGTGATATCCTAAGTATCCGTATCATAAGTTTAGCGGTGGAAACACCGGTAAGCAAGTGTAGGCCAAATGAACGTTATTTATTTTGGAGAGACATCGATCGACTCCGTTTTGGGTTGTATGGAACGGTTACCATTTGAGGGTTCTGTGAAATGCGTTGTCGTATCTTCACTCCATACAAGGGTTCATGATATTGTGATGCTCCAAAATTCTAACCTTAAAAGGTGAACATTAAATAAAACATCGTCAGTTATAGATGCATGTGCCCAAACACATTATCAACATATTTGTGGCAGGCAGTATGTACTGAGTTGAAATTAATTTCAATCTCTTGGGATAGGCACGAAATGAACTGTCAAGAAATAGCCTTAGAGTGCGTGTTACTATCTTGAATAGTGTTTTCGGTTAAACAGTTGTTGAACACATGGTCATTCTACTTGGATAGCTGATTTTATTTTTATGCTTAGATAGTAAATCTAATATTGTAGTCAGGTTTTAAAATACGTTCTACCGTGTGTGCTATTTTGTAATTTCTGTGAAATAAGTTTATCTGATCATGGTATTTGCTTGTGACAGTCATGTATTAATGATAGACTAAATTAGTCAAATTTCTGGACGGTTTGTTTTATTCTTTTGTGATAGGCTGACCAGCTGACTGAAGAGCAGATTGCTGAATTCAAGGAGGCATTCTCCTTGTTTGATAAAGATGGTGATGGTACAATCACAACTAAGGAGTTGGGAACTGTTATGAGGTCATTAGGCCAGAATCCAACAGAAGCAGAACTTCAAGATATGATCAATGAAGTAGATGCTGATGGTATGCCCCAAGCATAAGTTTTGATAAGATACATGTTTATGGTAATGATATCTTGTGTGATGGCACTAGGTTTAACCACAATTTTTTAGAGCTTTTTCAAATGGCAAATTTCTCTTACGGAAAAGTTTCAGTAAATATCTTTATCCTACAAGTTGATGTTGAATGGACAGTGGTGCATAGTTGTCATTTGCCATTTCTTGTTGGATTATTGGTCAGTTTTTCATATTTAATGTTGACAATTTTTTAAGGTAACGGGACAATCGACTTCCCTGAATTCCTCACGATGATGGCGAGAAAAATGAAAGACACAGATAGTGAGGAAGAGATCAGAGAGGCCTTCCGAGTTTTTGATAAGGATGGTAATGGTTTTATCAGTGCGGCAGAGCTGAGGCATGTCATGACTAACCTGGGAGAAAAGCTGACTGATGAGGAGGTTGATGAGATGATTCGGGAAGCCGACATTGATGGAGATGGTCAAGTGAATTATGAAGGTAGGGCAATGTGGCAGCCACAGGCATGTCCCACCAATTCACATTTACAGCAAACTGATTTGGGCCTGGGAAAGAGAAAGGAAGAAAATGCAGTATTTTGGAAGCTGCATTACTTGTTTGTTAAATTTCCAAATTTTAACTATAGATAGAAGGAAAACAGTTTATCATCATGCATCCATGTATAAAAACAGACTTTGTAGTTCTTGTTTGTATCTGTGAATCTTGAATGCCAGTGCTTGAACTCCAAAGCTAAGCACATCGAGCTAAGTTGTTTGCTTAAGCAGTTTTAAAGCAGCTGCAAATTTTGTTTAGTTACTCATTTGTTTCTTATGTTGTTGTTTGTAAGTAGTTAGTTACAAGTGACATTTAAATGGGCATACATTTCATAATCTTACTGTTGAACTCTGCTTATTAGGTAGTATTATAATGATATTTGAAATAAATATGTTATTCTTACTAGACGATAATCTTACTTTTACAATCTTTCCTTTAGTATACCTCTGTTTGTACAAGTTCTTTTTTTTGGGGGGGGGTTCTTCGTCACATCTTATGTACTGACGAGGCTGTCACTTTATCCTCAACCCAGATATAAAAATTTTTAGCGTCTGATATGTATTGATATCTGTATATAATAAATTAGCATAAAATTGCAACTTAATCATCTGAGATATTACATTAACAGTTCTTCACTAGTTTGTGGGATTGTTACTGTATGCTGTGGTTATTTCTTTTGGCCACTGCATTATTGTACTGCATTCTGTGTTTAATATGAATAGAGAGGTATGTAGCAAATGCTGTTTATCATGACAGCAATTTTGTGTGGATACTTTTTATCTATTAAATGTGGCCACTGTCAGTGTAGGTGGTTGCTTACAGACAATTTTTAACTATGCCATCATAGTAGTAGTAGTATGCTTTTTCACTGTTGTTTGACCAGGACATTCACAGCAGTTTTTTATTTTAATTTCAAAGCATCTTTGGCCCTGTACTGTGCAGATGTCACCAATGTTGACAGCTTTGTTTGCTAGCAAAAGAATTGAAAGTATTGGGAGGTGGATTCTTCTGAAAGTATATACAAAGTAGCACTGTATTTAGTTTGCAAGTCTCTATTTTTATAGCAAATTTTTTTTTATTAAGAATGAGATCATACTGACTTGAAGATAGAAGTAAAAGTTCTTGCTGACCTCAATTTCATAGTACTGCTTCGCATTCTGTTAAATGTTCTAGGTAATTCTGTTGTACTATGTGGAAAGGGAGTATTGCTCTAAAATTCTAATGCTTCTGAAGTTGATTATAGCCATGGTAAACTTTGTCTGTTTTCTTTTGTTACCTGAAGACAGAATACTCCAGCTTCCGAAGTGTTGTGATTTTATTTTTTATTTAATTTAGATGATGGACAAAGTCCTAGAAACCAGTTTTACACATGATATACCACTGTCAGAAACCTTTGGACTTATTTGTTTGTCTGTTGATGACAACTGTTAATAGTATTATTGTCATTGTTGTTAATATTGCTGCTGTTACTTAATATTAGGGACAATGCAAATAGAAGTATTTTAGTTTTAAACTTGCATGTGTTTCCTAATGAAGTTGCAACAGGAAGACTAATGATGGAACAGTAACTAACAGTAGTACATTTTTAGTCTTAACAACCAACATGGCTCAAGAGAATTTAATGGCTTTAAAGTAATGTGAAATTAAAATGCATTTAATATAGTTCTTGAAGCTTGTCGGAATGTGAGGCCTTCAGCTTTAGCTTTTTGGCTCAGTGTAAATTAGCGTTGAATAAATTTACCACATTCTAGAAGAAAGTCATTAGTACATACGTATGTATAATTCACCTGCTAATTGCTCAGGAAACTATTGTAAGAAAAATATTGTATTAGAATTGACCGACACTTTTCCAAGAATGGCGTGCAGTTGTGTAATGCGTGAGAACTGGCTAGAACTCTCTTTCGTCAGCCTCCGCAAATGGTGTTGCTATCATTATTAATATTTTTTATGCAGTATAGAATTTTAAAGGGAAATTATTCTTTCATGGCTAATGTAAATATCTTCTCGTTACCAATCATTAATGAAATACTTTGCTACTGTTTCCCATTAATTTCTGTGGAATGTAAAGGCTGAGAGTCTTATAATTTTGTTCTTAGAAGAAAAAATTTTTGCTTTATTTTCTTCATTATGAAACCCTGACTGTACACTTCACTCATTTTTGTTACAATACAATCATTCTTACAATTTGGAAGTTGTGTAAGCAATTGGGATATATAAGAATAATCTTCAGGATCATAGTTTGGAAGAAACTGGGCTGTATTTTAATTTCCAAAATTGAGTGACTGTTTTTGTGTGTGTAAATGTGGGGTAATGATGGCGGTTATTTTATTGCTATTGTAACACATTTCTGTATGGTTCAGTAGCACAAAATTATACAGATTATAAAATGTTATTTTTTTAATTACATACCCCGCTATGCACCACTTCACGTGACATACATATATTTTGTCTGCCAGATTCAGATCTTGGACCTTCCTCTGTTACTGTCTTTGTAGATGCTTTGAGTGCACCAACTATCACTTACTATGTAAATTGTATAATGTTTCTATAAATCTCTTGATAAATTCTTTAACGTGGCACTGTAAATTGCAAACAGTACAAAAATTATGAACCTTTCAAGATTCAATTTTTTGTTGCACAAACTCAGCATGCTGCTACATGCACTAAATTGTGTTGTAGGATTTGAGGTTTTCACGGCAGTTAGTTATCTGCCATTATAATATGATTTTGTCTGGTAATCTGGTGATGCTATGTGAACGTGTACAGTATTTTGTTTTCTTTGTGTTTATGTAACAATCAAATTTTCATGGGAAGAAAGTGAGTCATGCCATAACTTCATACACCTTTTTAAATGAGGTGGAATCTGAATTTGTGCCTGGTATTTGTAATTATAATCCATGAGTATTTACAGTGATGTGATACTGCACATGGCATCACTGCTGTTTACTGTTTGTGCAGTGTCCTACATTCCTATATAGGGAATGTGTTCCTTGTGCTTCTATTTTAGGTCTGAGTGCTGATTGTTACCTTCAGTGGGTTCTCTCTTCAACCTGTTGTTTGTATGTGCCTTAAACTGTAATGACAGCTAGTGAACTCGTATATTATAGTCTTAGAAAAGTCTTCCTGTGAAGTGTGTCATGCAGAGATACATTTTTAAGTTGCACATGCTTGCAGTTATTTTGTTACAAAAAATTGATAATATTTATAATTTTTGTAGGGTTTTAATTATGAGCTAGAAGGAATTTTGATTGTGGTATGGGATTTTTATACTGGTCTGATTTATGACTTTGGTTAGTTGGCATGTTTGGTAATAATTCTTTGTGTCTGTGACTTTTATACTGTGTAGCTGTATGTTTTGGACCAATGACATAACTACGTATTCGTGCTAAACATTTAAAACCTGGATATAAAGTGGAATCCATCTCTGAAATGTCATAAATTGAAGTGATAAAGTTATTGTGTATTTCTTTTCGTAGCAGATTGTTGTGTAAACCCAAGTTGTACCAATTTGAAACATTAATCTTCTAATATGAAATTATGTATCATGTGCATAGTAGTAATTATTAGTAGTTTATTATCTTACTAATTTCTTTAAACTTATAAAATGTAGTTTTGCGATGTCAGTTTTTATAAACATATAAAACATAGGAGGATCCATGCATTTTTTTTGTTCGACTTTTTCAATTGTAGCAATTGCTAATGTACTGGCTGGGTGTGCAGCCGCTAAGAGCATACATAGTAAGACTGTTTTTGCACTAATTTTTTATATTGTCTTGCATTTTGCTCTTGAATGTTAATGCAACAATTGCATCTTGCCAGAGACAAGTAAAAAGTTAACAGAACAACATTGTCTAATAGACTAACCTTAACAGTGAGTATGCACATCGTACATGAATTTGCTGGCATAGTGGTACATTGTTAAAATTGGTCACTTGATTGCAGATTTCTCCTCTTCCAGATTTCCATGCTCTTGCTCAAATAGTTTTCTCTCGCTGTAGCCGTTAACCAATGGTCAGGCCAAAGCTGTCTTATGCTGGTGGTCAGTGCTTTAAATTGCTTTATGGAATGTTCTTTGTTTTAAAGCACCCTGGTATAATGTTCTTATGTATTTTTTTTAACCTTTCATATTTAACCCATTTATCCTGCAACCAGACCAAGCATTACTGTGAACCAAAACCCTGTTGACAGCAGACAGTTCAATGCTAGTCTTGGCTACCCTCTCACTCATAACACATTACAAGCAATGGCTTGTTATTTCTAGACATTGTATTGAATTGTACATGTCATTGCTTCTAAATTCTCTGGCATATAAGGACCAATTTGTGCAGCAATCTCAAATGTCCTTGTTGGTTTATTTCATAAAGTTGTTTCTCGATTTAGATTGATACATATATACTTAAGTTGAAAAATGTAGTGTTTAAAATTGTTTGAACATGGCAGTGGTTCTCAAATACCTGCAAGGTCATTGAATGTTTGTTGCACATATGCTGCATTGTTTCATTAAAAAACATTTCAAAGTACAGTGTTCCAACAAAACGTCACTTTACCTTAAAAATAAAAATTGACACCCAAAGCACACAGTATATTTATACAAGTGTTATATTGGTTTTTATCAGCATTTTGTTGAATTGTACTAAAGGAAATTATGTGATTTACATAATTAAAAATGTGATCCCCCAATCTTAATTTGTGAATTGTCATACTATTCAGTAAGATATTAAAGTACTTTTGAAATGAGTTTTATTTGGAAATGTGTTGCGAAAATTAGATTCTAACATTGGTGCTTATAGGTAGTAATTTGGGAAGTAAACAGTTTGAGGTTATTGACATTGATAATTTTAGCAGGAGCAAACAAAATTTCACTACTAGCAGTAATCCACAAGCAAGTGTTTTGATTTTTTTCTTGAACCATAATTCAATTACTTTTCTGAAATTGTGTGATATTT